CATTCAGCGTGTAAACAAAGTGCTGGGTTCATATTTAAAGACAAGAATGTAAAAGCAAAGGGATAATATTAAATTTGCACTTAACCTTAGTTGGGCCACATTTAGATCATTTCTGACAAAAAGAATATTGATGTCTGGACAGGTAGAAGTCGTATTGAGGTTCCTTTTCTGAAAAAAAGAGACTTAAAGAAGACCCAGTGGAGATCTTGAAAGTAACGAGGAACTCTGAAGAGTTAATGTGGAGAAAGTCATGAGTGAGTTCAGAACAAAGGGCCATATTTCCAATGACCGCGAACAGATCAAACACAGAAATCAGGAGTGATGGGAATGATTGCCCATGAATACTTCAGGCATTAAACAGTCTCCAAGGGAGAGGCCTTCATTGAGAACATTGGTTTAGGTTGTTAAAAGTGTAGGATTCCATCTTGATTCAGGAAGTGAAGCTTACACAAGCAAAGTGTAAAGGTTTGGAAATTACGTGATTGCTGCTAAAAATTTCTTAACAGAGCTCATTAATAAAGATGCAGGACATTATAGTGGCTGGCACTTGACCTGACAATGATAGGGTGGTTTGGAATGAACTAGTCATTGCAGGGTAAATACTTTTTACTATTCACTTTCTGCTGGAGCTTCCATAAGAACATTTGATACGTTGCTGGAAACTTTCTGAGACACCATCAAGATATCATTAGCACTCTTGTTAACATTTATTCTGAAAATTTTCTGGGGATTTCACTTAAAGAAAATTAGTATTTATGTTCCAAATCATTGGGCATCTGTAGGACTCCACATGTGAATGAAAATTATATTTAATTAGTGCTTGATTCAAATTATGGTAATCAGCAAACAGGCCCAAAATGGCACACTAAATCCAGACTTTCAAACAGATGTGTCTGCACAGCATTTATTTAGTGCCTGGTCTCACCCATTCACCAAAATAACTCCTGTCACTTCACAGATTGATGAGAATGTGAAACTTACTGTCTCTTGGAGTGTTTGCAGCAGATACCATAGAACCCCTACAGTGTGGAAACAGGCCATTTGGTCCAACAAGTCCATACTGACTTTCAGAAGAGCATCCCACCCAGACTTGCCCTATCCCTGTACCCCTACACACCCCCTCCCCCCATGGCCAATCTACCCAACCTACACCTCCTGAGACACTGTGGCAATTAAGCATGGCCAGTCCACCTAAACTGCACATCTTTGGACTGTGGGAGGAAACTGGAGCACCCGGCGGAAACCCACACAGACACAAAGAGAATGTGCAATATCCACACAAACTGCTGCCCAAGACTGGAATGGAACCTGGGTCCCTGGCTTTGTGAGGCAGCAGTGCTAACCACTGAACCTCTGTGCCACCGCAATGCCAATGCATTTAAAAACAGGATTGGTATAATCTAGGATATTTGGTCAGCATGGATGAGTTGGACCGAAGGGTCTGTCTCCATCCTGTACATCTTTATGACTCTATATGTATGAGGGAGAGGAAAATAGGGATATGGGACAGCGTAGTAATTAGAGTGGAATAAAGACTTGTGTGAAATAATGACTGCCGTAGATCAGCTATGTTGAATGCCTGTTTTTGCTCTGAATGACATGAATGCTTAGTTTTGTCTGTCTTGATTTTGGATGAAGGAAGAATGAGGCCTGAAGTACTATCTGGGACCTTTAACATTTATCTGAACCATTAGCTAAAAAAATCAGATAGTAATTCAGCTTAATGGCTGATGGGTAGCACCTCCTCAGGCTGCCAATAAATTCCCCAAATGATGTACTGCTAGAAAGAGCTGCTCTGCACTGAAAGCACCAAAGCACAGTAAATTTGAGTAGTATTTCACTGCTTACTTCTGACAGATTTACAAATTGGGGGAAGCCAATGTGAGTAATACAGGGAGCTTTCCTTCTCTGACTGTGTTTAGTATGGTTGACTGTGGCACCAGTCATTGAGGATAGAAACAATAATCAGCAATGAAGCTTAACTGGCCATTGCCTCATTTCTGTAAATGGGCCCTAGTTACTCAAAACATTGGATGTTACATTCTATTGAAAAATAATGTCTATATTTCAGAATTAATTCACTGGATGTGAAGTACTTTGATGTGCGGCTGAGGATGTGAAACCAGTTATATAAGAGTAAATTACTTATCTCTTTAGAACCCTAGCATTTCATTAATTAGGGAACAAAAATAAATGCTTTGTTTTTGCTTTGTTTTATCTGATTTTCCCTTTCTTTAACTTTGCCTTTGACCTCTCCTTTCTCAAGTTATTTCTTATCAGTTTCTCCTACACATTGTGCCTCTGATGCTTCTCATTCGTCTTCTCAAGTTACTGATCCATTGCTGTTTCTCTTATGCATCTGAAGGATTGTGTCCTTCCCTTCAACCGCATCCTGTTCTGTCCAAATCTGACTCTTATAACCCTGAATGTATCTCTGATTCAGTGTTTACCTATCCCAATAGGCATCAAAGTCTCCATTCTATTATGTTGTGTCTTGTTAAGTCTTGTTCCCTCACAGTGAAAACATCAGAATACTTCTGTAAGAGAAAAATATTTAACATTGTCTCATTCTCCCTTGCAGTTCAAATTAATATTGCAACAATGAATATGTCAGGCTCAGTTTTTGGAAGTTCTCATTCTCCCTGTTGTTATTTCTCTTACGTTCCAGTTTTAATCACTAGGTAACAATTGCAAACAGGAACCAAGTCTGTTTTTATTCAACACTTCTGCAGTGTCAGGAATCACTCATGGCAATTTGTAGTGCCACATCATTGACTTATTTGAGATCACTAACAGCTCAGACCAGGAAAAAAATGTTACTAGTTGATTAAACTGCTGCAGCTATTGTTTCAGTCAACTTGAAGCTTTTAATGAAGCTTTTAGCTGTATGGAAAGGCTGCAGCTGTGCCTACAGTTACAACAATTTTGTGCTGAATGAGGCGTGTGTGCTGTAAATCATTATTACCTTCTGCTGTGGTGAGTCACTCAAATGCATTGTCACCTTCACAATGCAGATGTTCAATAAGACAGCCCAACAGAGAACCTGTTTTCAAAACTGAACTCCTGACAATAACTGAGTGAGTGTGTTTTAGCAACCCTGAGTGAGTGAATAAAATTCTGCTTAGAGTAGTGAGGCTCAGGGGAGATTTAACTCTAGTGCTCAAAATAACGGGAGAGTTTTGAGGAAGTAAATAAGGAGGAACTGTTTCCACCAGAAGAAGGGTTGGTAATCAAAGAACACAGATTTAAAGTAATTGACAGAAGAACCAAAGATGAGATGAAAAGAAACATTTTACATTCTAGAAAGATTTGAGTACGCAGGTTTAATAGAAATGTTCAAAATAAAATTGGAAGAATAGTAAAGGCAAACTTTTACAATCAAGAGGGGAAAATCAGGAATAGAGGTAATAATTTCAAGGAGACAGCATAAGCACACTGAGCTGAAAGGCCCCAATTTGTGCTGTATCATTCTATGAGTAATATTGAACCACCATAATACATTTAAGTTAATGGATAAGCAAGAAGGAAATGAGTTAACAAACTTTCATTAAAGCAAACTCTCCCATTTATCAAATTTATATTTAATTTGTTGTACAACACCAGAATTATGGGTAAAACCAGTATTTACTGCCTAGTTTTAATTGCCCTTGAGCCATGTTCTTGAACAGTTGTAGTTTGTATGATACAACTACAGTGCTGTATTTAGTAGCAGTTTGATACAACTGAGTGGCTTGCCAGGACATTTCAAAGGACAATTAGAGATAATCATATTGCCATGAGTCTGGAGTCACGCATAGCTTAGATTTGGTAACTAGAAACATAGAAGATAGGAGCAGGAGTAGGCCATTTGACTCCCCCAAGCCTGCTCCACCAGGCTGATCATTAAGCTCAACAGCCTAATCCTGGAACCCCCCCATTCCCCTCCCCGCCCCGCACCCCCCCCTCCCCCCCGCCCCAACCCCCGTATCCCTTGATCCCTTCAGCCACAAGAGTTATATCTACCTCCTTTTTGAAAACAAAATAATGCTTTGGCCTCAACTGCTTTCTGTGGTAGGAAATTCCATAGGCTTGCCAGTCTCTGGATGAAGAAATTTCTCCTCACCTCGGTTTCAAAAGGTTTACCCCTTATCCTTAAGCTGTGGCCCCTGGTTCTGGACTCCCCCACCACTGAGAACATACTTCCTGCATCTAACCTGTCAAGTTCTGTTAGGATTTTACAGGTTCCTATGACATCCACCTCATTCTTCTAAACTCCAGTGACTACAATTCTAACTGACTCAATCTCTCCTCATACATCAGACCTGCTATCCCAGGAATCAATTTGGTGAAACTTCGCTACACTCCCTCTATAACAAGAACATCCTTCCTCAGATAAGAAAATCAAAACTGCACACAATATTCTCACTATGAAGGCCAGCATACAGTTTGCCTTCTTTATTGCCTGCTGGACCTGCACACTTACTGTCAGTGACTGATGCTTGAGGGTAGCCAGGCCTTGTTACACATTCACCTGTCTCAATTTAAAGATAGCAGATATCCTCCCTTGGAGAACATTACTAATTCAGATGGTTTTTTTATAATAATGACGATTTCATGGTCATCATTACTGAGGTTAACTTTCAGTTTTTGATTTATTAATTTAATTTAAATTACACCAGCTGCTGTTGTGGGATTAGAACCCATATTCACAATATTAGCCTAAAATTCCAGATTATTAATCCAATGACATTGCCACTATGCCATTGTTTTCTCCCTACAGTTTTGCACCCATAGAGAGATTAGCTTGTTCTTCCATATATATCAATTGCTGAATTTAAATTCCTCCAGCTTGCATAGCAAGATTTGAATGTGTGAATCTGAAGAAATAGCCCAGGGCTTTGGATCACAAACCTCGTAGCATCATGAATATGCTACCATTCTCTCATTGAATGAAGTTGACGTAGTCAGTTTGCAGTTTGTTTGATTAACATGCTCATTGTCTGTTTGATTTCCTTACACAGATCACCTCGTGTTTGTCAGGGAGCCAGCCGTTCCAGGTTTTGAGTCATATAACCAACAAGGACATCAGATTTTATAGAGCTACCCACGTTTGTGTTTGTCTTCCTTCTCTTTCACTGTAGAAGAAAGAATACCTGTCAGAAGCTGAAAAGGCTTCATAAGCTGGCAATGAGATTGGTTTCTCTTCAAAATAATAATAATTCAGTGCAAAGAAGCAGAGGAGACGGAACCTGAAGCCTTTTCACTTGGAAGATTTTTATTGGTACCTGTGAGGAAAATTGGATGTATCTGGACATTTTCCTAACCCTGCCTGAGAGATGCCAGCCAAAACACCAATTTACCTGAAAACAACCAACAACAAGAAAGGCAAGAAATTTAAGCTGAGGGACATTTTGTCCCCTGACATGATCAGCCCTCCTCTTGGAGACTTCCGCCACACCATTCACATTGGCAATGGAGGGGAGCATGACGTTTTTGGGGACATTTCATTTCTCCAAGGGAAGTATGACCTGTTGCCTGGAAATCAAGGTCAGGCAAAGCTTAGTGAATACGGAGGGCACAGTGAATTCTCAAGGGCAAACAGTACCCCAAATTCTACTTTCTCTGAGATGCCCTCACCTGTGCTGAAGAATGCCATATCGCTTCCTAGCATTGGTGGATCTCAAGCGCTCAATCTTCCTCTACTAACTGCTGTAACCTTTGTTTCAAAGCGGGATTTCTCAGCCCCTCCCAAGCCCCCTCGACTCCACCCAGCCACTGAGCAGCATATGCCAGAAAAGGATGAGCACTGTGGGAATGGGCACATTAATACAGAAGGAGTAGAAGTGAAGAAGTGTCCAATGATATTACAGAATGGTGAAGCCAGCATCAATCACTCGCATAAGTTTCTTGGACAATCTAGAGAGTGTAAAATCATGGAGGAAGATTCCACTCATAGCACTATACAGTGTGGAATGACAAGAATGAACAATTCATCGGAGGATACCCTCCTCAATCTCACCGGCTCACTGCTCTCCCTTCAGCTGGATCTCGGACCTTCGATTTTAGATGATGTACTCAACGTTATGGACAGAAAGCACCAGATGGAAATCAAATAACAAGCGATTCTCAACAAAAGTCAACAATGGAGATCTTGGACCTCTTTCATAATACACTTGAACCACAGAACCTGTATATGTGCCTACTGAACTTGAGGGTGAAATGTCAATGTTTCCCGCCTGCTTCTTAGAAATGGACTCAGCGTCGTCTGCAGTTGTCATTTGCTCTGAAGAGCATGAAGGACTGCTCTTTGGCTGTGATACAATTTTCAGTGCTGCATTTATGGCAAAAGACTTCTCAACAATTTTTGCCCACATGTTTGACAGAGGGGCAGTCAGTTCATGTTTGTGCAGTGTAACTGGGTCTTGCTGAACCTTTTCAATGGCTAGTCAGAATTCTGACACTAGAGCAGAGCACTTTTGTGCAAATTGACTTGGTATGTTTGGTGCATCCGTGGTATCCATCCTTCATTCAGGCAATTATTAAAATTTAATTTCTTCACAACTGTAATGGTAGTTTGCAACTATCTCTGTTTTTGTCAACTATCGCTTGCTCTTCAAAGAAATTTGTTTTTGTGAAACATTGCTTAAACGTACACGTTACTTGAAACAAGTGCAACATCTGACGCAGAATAAAGAAATAATTATGGGATATCATGCAGTGTCAGGTGCCACAGGAATTATTTTCAATGATCCCTTGAAGATGGTATTTTCTTCAAGAGACTCTGCCCAGTGACTGCATGAAGCATTATTGTTGATTTCATTCCAGATCAAAATAAGCATCTATGAATATAAGCTGAGCAATCTTTTCTTGCGTACTTTATTTCTTGCATAGCTTTTAGCAGCAAATTTAATGAATATAAAATTAAGTGGTGATTTGAAAATATAACTCTTCAGTCAACAGTGTCACAGGCATTTGTAACACACCGTGGTTTATAGTGAGTAACAGAAATTGATGTACTGTTACGCTTCATACAAGGCTCCCATTGTAAAAGTCCGCAACAGGATAGAACAACTGCCAGTTAGGTTACAACTGCTGGAGGTCATATCATTATCAATGGTGCACATGTATATAATAAATAAATGTATAACAGGAAAATGCCAAACATGATATAAAATTCATAAGAAATTACAAAGAATCCTTATTGTAACAGATAAAGTTACATTGTCTTTGAGCTATATTAAAGATTAGCAGAAAATGAGATAAGACTTATGCCTTTTAGCACGGATTAGTATAGATGTGACCCAAAAGTGAAGGTTCATTGATTTTCCACTTCCCTTCCTAAGAAATAACTACTTTTACTGATTAGTTTGCTTCCTTTCCCTCCTGAGGGCAATGACACCACACCTGTTAAGATACAGGCTCCACACATGATAAAGTACAGGGGGACCACATGTATGTTAGGGAGTGAACTCCACATGCGTCAGAGTTCCTGCTTCACAAATATTCCGCTGAGTTTAGCCCATCACTAACAGGCTCCTTCCTGCCAACACACTACAGCTTTCATCTGAAAGTAAACAAAGTGTTTAACTGTTTAATTTTCAACTGTTCCATGTGTCAGCTTGCCTCATGTGGTAACATTTCTAACCAAGATGAGGAATTTATTCACTCAGAGGGTGGTGAATCTTAAGAATTTTTTACCCCAAGGGCTGTGGAAGCTCAGTCATTGAGAAGGTTCAAACCAGCAAGTGATCAATTTCTGGAGATAAATGGCATCAGGAATCGTGGAGATAGTGCAAGGAAGTTGCTTTGAAACATAAGAACATAGAGAATAAAAGTAGAAGTTGGTCATTCGGACCATCAAGCCCATTCCACTATTCAACATGATCGTTGCTGACCCTATACCTCAACACCAAACTCCTGCTCTCTCCCCACAGCCCTTGACATCTTTAGTTTATAGAAATCTGTCGACTTCTTTAATATGAATACTTAAAATGTATTCAGTGACTTCACCTCCACAACTTTATGTGGTAGAGAATTCCACAGATTCACCCCTCTGAGTGGAGACATTTCTCCTAATCTGAGCCGGAAATGACCTGCAATGTATCTTGAGACTGTCACCCATTGTTCTGAACCTCCCAGTCAAAGGAAACAACATCCCTGCATTCAATCTGTCCATCCCTGCCAGAATGTTATACATTTCAATGAGATACCCTCTCATTCTTCTAAACCCAATGAATACAGGCCCAATTGGCGTAAACTCTCCTCATACGACAAATCTGCCACCCCAGGAATCAGTCTAGTGAGTCTTCATTGCACTCCTTTTATTGTAAATATATCTTTTGGGTAAGGAAACTAAAATTGTACTCAATACTCTGGGTGTAATCACCAAGGCCCTATTACAGTTGCAGTAAGACCTCCTTGCTCTTGTACACAAACCCGCTTGCAATGAAGGCCAACACACTATTTGCTTTCCCAACTGCTTGCTGCATCCACATGCATTCAATAACCACTGTACAAGGGCACAGAGGTCCCCTTTCCCAATCTATCAATATTTAAATAATACTCTGCCATTCTGTTTTTCATATTAAAGTGGACAACTTGACATTTATCTACATTATACTGCATCTGACATGTGTTTGACAATCACTCACCTTGTCTAAATCGTCCTGAAGCAACTTTACATTCTCGTCACCACTCGCACTCCCACCTAGTTTTGTGTCATCAGCAAACTTGAAACTATTACACTTGATTTCCTGATCCAAGTTTTTAATAAGTGTTGTGAATAGCTGAAGCCCAAACACTGCGCACTATGGCATGTCACTTGCCACTACTTTTCATTTCAAAAACAATCCATTGATTTCTACTCTCTTTCCTGTCAATGCTAATATAATTGCATGTGCTTTTACTTGCACAATAACCTCTTATGTGACTTTATCAATGGCTTTCTGAAAATTCAATGCACCATATCCACTGGTTCTCCCCTTATCTATTCTACTAGTTAGTATAAAACACAGGCTTGTCAAGCATGATTTCATATTCATAAATCCATATTGACTCTGTTTACTACTGTTGGTATTTTTCAAGTGTCTAAGGGTTTCAAGTTATCACATTTCTATGATACTCTCCAGCATTTTCCCTACTACTGATGTTCATCTAACCAATTCCTGGATTTCTCCTTCCTTTTTAAACAGTGGGATTTCACTTGTACCCTCCAATATGCCAGGACTGCTCCAAAAGCTACAGAATTTTGGAAGATGACAACCAACTCATTTGCTATTTTCTTGGCCAACTCTTTTAGCACCTTGGGATGTAGATTATCAGGCTCTACAGATTTATCAGCCTCCACTCCCATTAATTTCTTCAACACCACTGCTAATTTCCTTCAATTCCTCCTTGCCAAAAGACCTTTGTTTCCTTAACATTTCCGGGAAGTCGTGTATTTTTTTTCTGTACAGACAGATGGGAAGTTGGTGTTTAATTGTTTAATTTAGTTTCTTATTCACCATTAGAATTTCCCTTCAGAATATCCTGCAGTTGCTCAATGACATTCTTGATCCTGGCACCAGGAAGGTGTCACATCTGTAGCTATGGAAATTTTATCTCTTCCGCTTACCATAGAATCCCCTGTCATTGAGATCGATGATCAGCAATGATCTAACGGAATGGTGGACTTTGCTCAATTCCTTTGATACTATGTCCTGGCAAAAATTTGTAGATTTGAACCTCAACACAAGTGGAGTGGAGAACGTAATTTAGGCTGACTCTCTGGCACAATACTGTACTGTAGAAGGAGTGCTGCACTGTCAGAGGTGTCAGTCTTCCAATGAAGTATTTCAGGGCGGTATCCATGTCTGGTTCAGATGAATCATGGCGCGATTCTCCAAATATGATTCTCAACAAAAACCTGATCAATGTGCTGTTGGTGAGATGTAATCACAGCATCTAAAATAAAAATTATGAATTAAATGTGAAATGATATATCCTGAGACATTAAATTTAACTCAAAATCATTGTAACTATTTTCTATTCTCATCTAAATATTCACTTCAGAAGAAGCAGAATTGTTCGGGGTCTACATCAGCTCCTCTGTTTATGTCAGTTACATGAGGCCTCCTGGAATTCTGAACAGAAAGGGGAAGAGATAAAATTCAGTTAGAGGTCATTGATTAATGTTCAGGGCCAAGTGGCGCTGGTAATCATCCCTTTTTAACATTCCTAACGTTCTTGTTAGTGGCTATTTAAACTCTAAGAATTTTTGCTTTTATACAGGCCACAGAAAGGTCATTAATACGCCAAGGTTTTCTTGAAATAGCAAATGTCTTTTTAAAAGTTGTAAAACCTGTTTTATCAAAGCCAGAAACCTTGTTAATGGCTCATTTGGTTGCTCAGGTGATAGTACAGCCAGTTAGTGCTGGCAAACCATCTCTTTAAATAAACTTGCATCCGAGATCTATGACTAATGACGTTAGATGAAATAATTCCTCTAACAAATGATTTGAATGGCAAATTCCAATTAGACTGCATCACACTCAGGATTCAGTGACTCTGAAGCTGAAACCCGACTTAATCCAATATGCCTGTTTGTAATTGTAATCAATGGCTGCTTTCTCAGCAAGTCAAACATCTGCACTCTGCAGCAGTCACATTCCGCATGGCTTGTCATTTGCTGATCTTTGCAAGACTCAGTAAAGCACCTCTGCTATAGGCTGTCATTTTCAATGTAACATTTTCTTTCAGGTAGTGGGTATAATGGGTGATGTGATGAAAGCATTAGTGTAGAGTTGATGAGGGAGGACTGTTTCCAGGAATTGGGAGATTGAGAAGGGAGAATGGATGGATAGATAGAAAGAAAAACTCACATTGATATGACATTTTTCATGACCATCAGACATTCTCTCAGGTTTTTAAGCCATTGAAGCGATTTAAATTGTTGTACACTGCTATGATCTTGGAAATGAAACAGCCAATTTGTGCACAGTAAACTCCCAAAAACATAATTTGATGGTGACCAGATAATCTGTTTTCATGACACTGATTGAGAGTCAAGACACCGGGAATAACCCCGCTGCTGTTTTGCAAAATAGTGCCTTACGATCTTTTACATCCATCTGAGAGAGCAGATAGAGTTAATGTTTAAAGATTAATCCAAAAGATGGCATCTCTAGTGAAGCAGATTCCTTCTATTTTTCACTGGAGTGCTAGTCTACATTCTGAGTCCTGGAACCTTCAGACTCAGATACAAGTCTGCTACACGAGCCACCACCAAAACTAAAGAATAAATGTAGAACACTTAGGATAGAAAGGAGGAGTCTCAGAGCATCATACAGCACAGAAATACACCCTCCAGTCCAACCTGTCCATGCTGAACATGATTCCAAACTGAACTAGACCCATCTGCTTGCTCCTGACTCATATCCTTCCAAAGCCTTCCTATTTATGTACTTATCCAAATGTCTTTTAAATGTTGTAATTGTGCCCACATCCACTACTTCCTTCGGAAGTTCATTCCACATGCAAACCACCCTCTGTGTAAAAAATTTGCCCCCACGTTTTTTTTAAATCTCTGTCTTCTCACCTTAAAAATGTGCCTGTAGTCTTGAAATCCCCATCCTAGGGAAAAGACACCTTCCATTAACCATTTCTATACCCCTCATCATCTGAGCGAGTGTGATGTGGAGTACCACAGTTAGCTTTGAAAGTTAGGTACATGGTTGAAGGAAAACGGAAGAAAGGGATGCAGGGACCTGGCAGGCACATGGGGCTAGAGGCTAGAATTTCCATTCTTGAGAGAATTACAGAATCTTCACAGTGTGGAAGGAGGCCATTCAGGGTATTGTGCCTGCACTAACTCTCCAAAACACATCAGGAATTAGTGCCAACTCCCTCTCTATGCCCAAAAGACATTATTTCTATTTGAATAATCGGCAAATGCCTTCTTGAATTCTTTGATCGAATCTGCCTCCAGCATAACTCCAGGCAGTGAATTCCCAAACTGCACTACTCTTAAGTGAGAAAGTTTTGTCTGATAAAGACAATTCTGATCATTTTCTGATAAAGATCTGTGTCTGTCTTCATTCTACTATGATTGAGAACAGTTTCTCTCTGTCTACAACAAAAATAGAAGTTGCTGGAAAATCTC